ATGAAGTGTGCGGCTTGTAACGCAGAGTTTAATGACGGAGTTCAGTGTGGGATATGTAAGAAACATTTTGACTTTGGCTGTGTTAATATGACCGAAGCTGGATGGAGAAAACTGGGAACTGAAAGAAGAGCTTTGTGGAAGTGTATGACCTGTCGAAACAATAGTCAGTCTCCCAGTGCGTCTGCAGAGTCTGTCTCGAATAGAACCTTACTCAACGAGATCAGGGAGATGAAGGCGCAGCTTTCTGGACTGGCTATGCTTCATGAAGACGTTCGTACCATGAAAGAGGAACTCGGCGAGGTCAAGAAGAGCCTAGATTTTGATAGCGGCAAAGTGGAAGAGTTTGCAGTTAAACTGAATAACTTTGAGTCTCGAATTGTCTGCCTAGAGGCTCTCAGGAGCAAAGTTCAGTCCATGCATGACGATATTAGTGCTATCAAATCAGAATTGTCTGCAACCGACCAGAGGTCTAGACTTAATAATATAGAAATAAAAGGTGTTCCGTCGAGCAACAACGAGAACTTATTTTCTATTTTGGAAACCATCTCTCAGAAGGTTAATTATACGTTCCCGAAAACTCAAGTGAATTATGTGTCGAGAATACCATTGTTTAACACGAAAGAGAAATCTATTGTTGTGAGTTTCCTCAACAGATATGTCAAGGAGGATTTCATTGCGGCTGCACGTGCTGTTAAGAACCTAACTACTCAGGACCTTGGATTGAAGGGTCCGGCAACGAGGGTCTACGTAAATGATCACCTGAACTCAGCCTCCAAGAAGTTACTCAACAAGGCTAGGACATTGGCGAAGGAGAAAAGTTATAAATTTATTTGGGTTAAACACGGGAAAATACACGTTCGTAAGCTTGATGGTCACCATGTACTTGTAATAAACAATGAAAAAGATTTAAACAAAATATCCTAATCTACTGCGTTAATCAATATTCGTTGCATTGTGTTAAATATTCAAATTATAATGTCATTGTTTTTAAAATTCGCCATATGAAGTGTTTAATAATTACTAAAATGTTTAACATTTGTAAAAGGTTTAGCATCTCTGCCTATCTCGAAAGTTCGACATGTCGCTGCTGTTCTCGCTCACTGGTCATAGATATCCGTTATTGCACTATTTCTAATATAAACTTAAAACAGAATCTACTTTTCTTGCTCGCACTGCTTGCACTTATATGTGAATCAGTTCATTGCTTTCTCGCTCACCCAATTACTTGGTATTTGCATATTTATTGCAGCCTACCTGCTTCTCAGTTTTATAAAAATAACTATTCAAAATATACTTCGCTTATTTTATTTTTTCATAGAATCATATTGCATATAGTTATTAAGGCAGTTGCTATTACTTCTAAAGTTTTTAATGGCTAAGAATAATATTAAGAATCTTCGCATATACTACCAGAATGTGCGAGGGCTTCGTACCAAGACTGATGTTTTTTATAGGGAAGTGTGTGTTAACTTATATGATGCGATTGTGTTAACGGAAACTTGGTTAGTGGATAGTATCTCGGATTCAGAATTGTTTAGTGATCAGTATATTGTGTGGCGCCGTGATCGTAATTATTGTCGGACTGGTCAAACGCGCGGAGGTGGGGTGTTAATTGCTATTCGTAAAGAGATATCTGCAATGCCCCAACCATCTTTTCACTCCTCAGCGGAAGATTTATGGGTAACAGTGAACCTACGTTATCCAGGTACAAGGGAGGTCTTCAGGCTAAACGTGAGTGTCATTTACTTATGTGCGGAAAGTCAGGGATTCTCTTTTTCGGAACAATTGTCTGATTTTCTTAACAAATTGAATAGTACAATGTTAAATAACTCAGATGATAAATTTTTAATCATAGGTGATTTCAACTTAAGTGGCATTTCATGGCAATTAACGGACAATGTTTTGCAACCCGTAAACATATGTAGCAGTGACGAGCATATGTTAACGGATGAGATGCGTATTCTAGGTCTGAGACAGTACAATGGTATATTAAACAACTTCGGGAAGACTTTGGACCTGGTTTTGTGTAATGATTGTGTGTCGGTGAGTGAATGTCCTGTGCCCTTGGTAGCTGTCGATAAATATCACCCTGCTCTTTTAATTAATTTGAACTCCGCGGAGTACACACGTTTGATTCCTGCGTCGTACACCCGGTATACTTATGAGAAGGGTGATTTTATTTCGATAAATAGAGAATTGGCGGCTGTGGATTGGGATACCGTGTTTATGAATATGACGCTCGACGAATGTGTGACCTATTTTTATAATACTTTAGCTTATATTCAAAATAAATATGTTCCTAGCAAGAATATATATTATAATTCTTATCCGATTTGGTACTCCTCTTCACTTAAACGACTAATAAAAGAAAAATCGAAATACCTACGTAGATTTAAGATATATGGCAGACTTTCTGACCAGGCTACGTTTAGGCTTTTACGTGATAGGGTGAAGAAACTTGAGGCTGACTGCTACTCTAATTACCTAGCTGCCACTGAAGAATCTATTGAAAGGAATCCTAAGTATTTTTGGAGTTTTGTAAAGCAACGCTCTAAATCTAATTCAATACCTAGTTACTTTAATTATGGTGGCGTATCGATCTCATCTGCTGATGAAATATGCAATGCGTTCTCTTCACATTTCCATTCCACTTTCATTGATCCAGTTAGTGATACTGCTATGAATACCTGTACTGCAAGTACATCATACACATCTTGTGATATTAATTCAATTGAAATTAATTTGGAGTATATTACTAAAATTCTGAGTGGCCTTGACCCATTGAAGTCAGCCGGCCCTGATTACCTATCACCTAAATTTATAATAAAATGTGCTAAAACTGTAGCTTTGCCGATATCGCTGTTATTTAAGAAATCACTTACTATTTGTGCTGTTCCTCGGATTTGGAAGTCTGCGTTTGTTACACCCGTGCACAAGAAAGGGCCAAAAACTGAAATTGTTAATTATAGACCCATTTTCAAATTATGTGTTTTGGCAAAAGTCTTTGAAAAGGTTGTTTACGATCAAGTGTACGCGGCGCTTAAAAATACTTTTAATCCATCACAACACGGTTTTTTAAGAGGACGTTCAACCGTTTCAAACTTGATACTACTGAATGATTATGTGACGCAGGGCATGGTTATTTATACTGACTATAGCAAAGCGTTCGATAAAATAGATCACAGCATACTGAAAATAAAATTGTTTAACAGTGGCATAAGGGGGGGACTTACTTCGGTGGTTTTCCTCTTATCTTGAAAATCGGACTCAGGCTGTAGTTGTCAGTAATTATATTTCTGGCTGGGTTTCTATCCCCAGCGGCGTGCCCCAGGGTTCCTTAATGGGTCCATTGCTTTTTACGATTTACGTGAATGACATCGACTCCTGCTTCCAAAGTTCTAATCTGCTCTGTTTTGCTGATGATATGAAGATCTATTCTGCAATATCATCGGCAAACGATGTGCAGGCGCTTCAATCAGACTTATCACGACTTGATCACTACTGTCAATTAAATAAATTGGAACTAAACCCCGTTAAATGCTCAGTCGTCACGTTTGGTAGAAAACGGTCACCAATACTAGCACCATACGAACTTAAGGGACAAGTATTGCCAAGATGTGATGGGGTACGTGACCTTGGTGTTTACCATGACGCGAAGCTACTGTTCGATGTGCATATTGAGCAAATTATTGCTAAAGCTTCCAAGGCTTTGGGGTTTGTAATGAGAATTGCCAAATGTTTCGTAAAAGCTAAAACGCTAAAAATTCTCTACTGTACTTTTGTTAGGAGCCACCTGGAGTATGCCTCGCAAGTTTGGAACCCTTGCTATCATAAGTACATTGATCGCATTGAGAACATACAGAAACGTTTTCTGAGGTTCTTGTGTTTTCGTTTAAATATTCCTTATAGCTCAAACAATTACATTGGTCTGTGTAAGAAATTTCATATCCAGCCACTTGTAAATCGACGCCGATTAGCTGATTGTTCTTTTCTTTTGAAAATTATTTCTAATGAGATTGACTGTCCTAGCCTTTTGCAAAAGTTAAATTTTAATGTCCCCCGTAAGTCGATTAGATTTAATCCACCCATTTCTATTCCAATTTCTTCCTCAATCTATAGAAAAAATTCATATATTGTGCGAGCGAGCGGAGATTTCAATAAATTGTGCAAGGAATACTCTCTTGATCCCTTTAATACCAAAAGCAATGTTGTGCGCGGTATGCTAAACCTTGAATTTTTTAGATCGTAACATTTTTAGATCGATTATTATTTATTGTATAGTTGTATAGGTGTAGTGTCGTATTAGTTAGTGCTCCAGAACCTCTGTTATTTACAATGATTCTATTCGTGAAAACCTGTAATTGGCTTGATGTAGCATATCAATCTGACCATTTCATTTTTGTAGCTGTTGGTTTTCCTAACTGAAATAAATAAATAAATAAATAAATAAAATATTTAAAAAAACTACTTTTTGTAACTTAAATATAAAAGTTAGACATATGATGTCGTTGACTTTTTTGTAGGCATTTTCAAGCTCCACATCTTTTCTCTAGAACTCAAAAATATGTCTTTCATAGTTAAGGCAGCGTTCGTAAGAAACGCTTTCATTCGACCGTTTTTTCTCCGATTCACTTTGCAAAACGGACTACCACGTAAAAGCCTTTTTATTTTTCGGTTTTTTATATAACCTATGACACTCAGCAATAATGTGGCTTTCTATTGGTGAAAGAATTTTTAAAATCGGTTCAGTAGATCCCGAGATTACCCCTTACAATTTAACAAATATACAAACACACAAACTTTACTTCTTTATAATATTAGTATAGATGTACGTCCGTAATATAGCTTGCTGCTTTGTACCTGTGAGTTTTGCGGCATTTGTGTAGTGAACGACTTTTTGATGTGTATTAAATAAAATATTTTAGTATTAACTATTAATTATAAAAGTTTTGTGCTTAATAAACATCTCGTATGGTACAATACATTTCATAATGAGCACGATGGATATAAATAAGGAAAATGAGGATGAAAACAAAACACTAGACAAAAAGCAAATTGAGGCAGAAGAAAAAGAAGTTATGCTAAAAGTTGAAGAGGCCAATATCAATCCTGCCGAGTTCAAAGCGGATGAAGGCCCTGTTAAGACAGCTCTTTCCGGTGATTTAACAGAGCAAGGTCGCGAAGTAAAGCCAAAGTTTATACCTATAGGCGCTATTAAGATGCCGGGTTTTTTCACTAAGAATTCTGATAAAGATAAATCTAAAGACGAAGAAGCAGCTATTGAAAAAGATACAGACCATGAGAAGTCTGATGAGAGTACTCAAGTTAAAGAACCCCGCTTCCAATTTTTTAATAAAATGAAGAAGTTCTTAAACCATTCTGAAGATGGTGAAGACAAAGAAGAACGGAAAAAGGGTGGTCTGTTCAACTTGAAATACCCAAAGGTTTTTCAAAAAAATGAAACTGACAATGCAGAAATTACTCTTGCATCTATGGAGACATTGGACGATAAGCTAGACACAACTAATGATGGCATGGAGACGGTAAAGCTGGAGTCACCTGAAACAGAAGAAGGAAAAGTTGTTACCGCTCTCCCACTTAGAGAAAGAATTCGTCAGAGGAAATTTATCGTAGATGATATCATGGTTTGCATCATAGTTCTACTGGTCATGCTTGCCGTTATCATAGCGATTGTGGTTGGAGCTAGGGCCGGACCACCGATAGAACGGCCTCTGCGTCTAGGACGTTTCATTACCACTTTTACAAGTTGTGGACCTGTTGAAGGAGTCTTGGATGAAGGAGTCTACAAGTTTTACAGTATACCTTATGCTGTTCCACCAGTTGGACAAAGAAGGTTCACATATGCTCAACCCTTAAATAATATCTCCCATTGCTGGAATGATACTTTAAATGCAAGGAGAAAAGGTCCTCTATGCCTACAATTTCTGGAAAATGTTACCATCACAGGTGACGAAAACTGTTTGACACTTGACGTGGTTACTCCTCACGTAAGGTATGATACTCCATTACCAGTTGTGGTTCTAATTGGAGCCAATTCATTGACTGGTGGCATAAGTCCAGCGCAGCCCTCCGCATTGTATGCCCGCACTAAAGAAGTTGTATTCGTACGTCCCAATTTTAGATTGGGTCCTTTTGGATTCCTGGCTCTTGATGTTTTGTCAAATAGTAGATATCCCGCTATATCTGGAAATTACGGCCTCAGTGATTTATTAGCAGCATTGCAATGGGTACAGTTAAACATTAAACACTTTGGAGGTGACCCAGATTCAGTAACACTATTGGGTCACAGAGCGGGTGCAACATTGACGGCTGCTTTGACAACTGTTAGTCAAGCTCAGAAGTTATACTCCAGAGTATGGCTTTCTTCTCCTTCAGTCATATTTCCTGGGGAACCACTAGAACAATCCCAAAAATTAAATGATAGGTTCAAGCCAATGACCAAATGTAATGATGCTGAATGTCTGCGTCGTATATCTACAACACAAATTCTAACCCCCGATATTTGGTTGGAGTCCAATATGGGAGATTTACCTAAACTTAACGAGCCGAGGCATACGTTGTTAGTATTAGATGGAGAATTGCTTAGAATCCATGCATATGATACCTGGAAAGAAGCAAAATTATCAGGGAAAGAAAAAGCTTTCAAGCCTATTGTATTCGGAACAACACAACATTCTAGTCAGTCTGTTCTCTTAATGAAAAAGTATTTGAAATGGGCCCCCAATATTGTAGAGAAAGTGGTAAATGATAGTGTTATTGGCGAGAAGAATTTAACATCTTCTGTATTTACACACGTGAATAAAAGTTACGAAGGTTTGGTGGAGTTAATCTCATCCATCCGTACATTATGTCCTTTAGTAAGTCTTGCTCGAATGCGTCTTGAAGTTCCGTTGTACGTAGTAATGGGAACAGGTGCCGGCGGTGGTAAGGGTGGATCAGGAATAGCTAATGTCAACGCCGACATTGAAGCAATTCTTGGCACATTTGATTCAGAAAAACCAGAGCAACGACGATTTATGTCAGCCATGCAACACCTATTTTACTATTACGTCTGGGATGGCCATTTACCGGGGCCTGAGAGCAGTTTAATGCAGGTAGGCCAAGATGTACTTCCTCTAAATGGTATCCCACTATGCGATTTACTCATTAAAGAAGATATTGTACCAAGGTATGCACACATTGACTAATTAATTAGCCAATCACTTAAACGGCAACGATATCTGTTTGACGCCAATCCTAAATTTGCTGTTTTTGTTATTAATTAGTAATATCATAAATGAATGTCGACAAAATGTACTTGCCCCAGTAATTTATAAGCAAAATATTTTATAATCGTACTCTTTGTCTGTGCACGTGTTTATCTTTATATATGCCAGTGATATGTAGTAACTGATTGTATTTTCATCATGACAACTGTTTATCATCAGACAGTATGTATACAGTCCGTGCGGTACTTGTCTTTGCGGTTGGAGAGGCCACCAGGCCCTCCCCATCCGCTGGATATTGGTACATACCGCAGTCTTAGTCCTGTCTCCCATCCTAGTACTCCCCCACCCTAATTTTCCTCTCTCACCCAATCCTCTCACCCCCGATGTTTCCTTTTTCCCTTCGTATAAACGACTACATTCCCAAGGAGGGTTGGCGACAGGCAGGCGGCCGGCCATAAAATTAATTAGCCAAAACCATTTTAATGCAGTATAGTATGATAGAAATTGAGTGCGACAGTGCTAGGGCGTACCCCGTAGGCGACGCGCGGCAGCAGCACCCGGCTACGCGAATAAGTGGACAAGGGTTGTTGCACCACCCGAGGCGGGTGCAACGTAAGAAGCAAGCCCGAGAGGTGAGGTTGAGGTATGCAAGTTGGAATGTAGGGAGTATGACTGGAAGAGCGAGAGAGCTAGCAGATGTGTTGAAAAGAAGAAGAATAAACGTGGCATGCTTGCAAGAAACAAAATGGAAGGGTACAAAAGCAAGAGAGATAGGAGAGGGGTACAAGTTTTATTACTGCGGAAGTGATGGGAAGAGAAATGGAGTGGGTGTAGTATTGGATAGTGCCCTGAAAGAGTGTGTGACGGATGTAAAGAGAGTGAACGATAGAATAATAGTACTAAAATTAGTATGGGAGAGCGTAATTATGAATATTGTTAGCGTGTATGCACCTCAAGCTGGATGCAAGGATGAAGTGAAAGATAAATTTTGGGCCGATTTTGACATGGTTTTGATAGGTATCCCTGAAAGTGAAGAGCTTTTGATAGGTGGAGATTTCAATGGTCATGTGGGAACAACGAATGAGGATTATGAAAGAGTACATGGAGGAAGGGGGTTCGGAAGTAGAAACATTGATGGTGAGTCTCTGCTCCAGTTTTCCTCTTCGTTTGACCTGGCAATAGTTAACACATGGTTCCAAAAACGTCACGAACATCTGATCACGTATAAAAGTGGTAGCCACGCGACACAGATTGACTACTTTCTCATAAAAAGAAGTAAGTTGGTTTGTGTCCGAGACTGCAAAGTGGTGCCCGGGGAACCCGTAGTATCGCAACATAGATTGCTGGTAATGGAGGTCAAATGGAAGAGTTTGAGTAAGAGTAGGAAGAACCGACCTTCTCCAAGAATCAGGTGGCGAATGTTAGAGAAAGAAGAGTATGCAAGTAACTTTAAGGTAAAGGTGGTAGAAAAAATGATTGAAATGAATGCAAGGCTAGATAAGTCTGTGGATGGATGGTGGAGTGAAATGGCAAATTATATACGACAGATAGCGAGAGAAGTACTTGGGAAAACAAAAGGAAAAGGCATTATTGAAAGAGATACATGGTGGTGGAGTGATGAGGTACAGAAAGCTCTAAAAGAAAAGAAGGATGCCTTTAAAGCGTGGAAAAATGAAAAGGTCTGTGAGAGAATGAAGGAAGTCAAAATGAATGAATATAAAGAGTGGAAGAAAAAGGCAAAAAAAGCGGTAGCGGTAGCCAGAGCTGAAGCTCAATATAACATATTTAAACACCTACATGAACCTAGAGGTCAAAAATAACTCTACCGCATTACAAAGAACAGGGAAGAAAGAGCAAAAGACCTAAAGCATGTGAGATGTATAAAAGATGAAGAGGGGAGAGTGTTGGTTAAAGATGAAAATATAAAAAAGCGATGGAAAACTTACTTTGAAAAACTTATGAATGAAGAGAATAAATGGAGCGGAGTGCTAAAGCATGTGGATGTGAATGTCGGACTGGTGAACGAGATTAGTATAGATGAAGTTAGATTGGCAGTACGAAGTATGAAAAATGGAAAAGCAGTTGGCCCCGATGGTATACCAGTGGAAGTTTGGAAGCTACTGAAAGAAGACGGATATGAGTGGCTGACTCTATTCTTCAATATGTTGTTGCTTGAAGAGGTAATCCCAAAGGAATGGTGTCAAACTCAACTCGTACCCATTTTCAAAAATAAAGGAGATGTTCAGGAATGCAACAACTATCGAGGAATAAAGCTCATGTCACATACTATGAAAGTCTGGGAGAAAGTGATTGAGAGAAGAATAAGAGATGAGAGTCAGATAACCCAAAGTCAATTTGGGTTTATGCCAGGACGCGGGACAACAGAAGCTATATTTGCAATGCGCCAACTATGTGAGAAATACAGGAGTGCGCACAAAAACTTGCATATAGTGTTTGTGGATCTCGAAAAGGCATATGATAGGGTACCCCGAGAGGTTTTGTGGTAGGCTTTGAAAGAAGAAAGAGTGCCTGTAAAGTATGTAGAATTAATTCGTGCTATGTACAGAGAGTCTAGCACTCATGTAAGGTCGGTCACGGGAAACACTGACCAATTCAGTGTCTCTGTAGGCTTGCACCAGGGATCAGCTCTGAGCCCATACCTCTTCCTGTTGATAATGGATGCTCTGACATCGGACATACAGGAGGAGGCACCTTGGTGCATGCTATTTGCAGATGACATTGTGTTGGTCGGTGAAGATGGGGTTGAGGTCCAGAGCAGACTGGAAAAATGGCAGCAAAGGCTGGAGAATGTTGGCTTGAAAATCAGCAGAACCAAAACTGAGTACATGTTCTGCGATTTCGGCGGTCTCTCCAGTCCTGAAACCATTTCGCTGGATGGGATAGCGATAACAGTCTGCTCCAATTTCAAGTACCTCGGCTCCCTCTTACAATGTGATGGTGAGATTGATCGAACTGTACAGCATCGAATCAATACGGGATGGATGAAGTGGCGGCAGGTAACGGGAACAACTTGTGACCCCAGTTTCCCCTTAACACTGAAGGGACAAATTTATAAAACTATTATCAGACCTGCCGTCCTGCATGGCTCTGAAAGTTGGCCCATTAAGAGAACGGATGAGAGACGCCTGAATGTAGCCGAAATGCGAATGCTGAGATGGATGTGTGGTGTGACTCAGATGGACAAGGTTAGGAATGAGTATATACGAGGGAGTCTGAAAGTAGCGCCACTGGATGAAAAGTTAAGAAGTAATAGGTTATCTTGGTATGGACATGTCATGCGGAGGGATGAGGAAAATGTGGCGAAGAAAGTTTTAGGTATGAGAGTTGAAGGGTACAAGAGAAGAGGCAGACCGAAGAAGAGGTGGATGGACTGCGTCAGGGAGGATATGGCTAGGAAGGGAGTAAACAGTGAGATGACGCATGACAGAGTAGAATGGAAAAATCATACATACTGCGCCGACCCCAAATAAAATTGGGAAAAGGGTAGGCAGATGAGATGTACGTCCGTAATATGTACAGATTGTTTTTAATTAACTACTGACCTAACAAAATAATACACACAGAATTTGACAATTAAAATCGCCTTCTTACTTGTAAACACTTATTTTATTTAATTAACAACACTGCGTTGTCATTACGGAGCGCTGTGCGTGTCTGACATACGTGCGCTCACTACCAATGACTGAGTGTTTATAGGCAGGAGCGCGGCACTCGGCGCGCTTTATATACCCTACGAGTGCACACGTGCTGTGTCCCACCGATAAGCATCCAGCTTGTTGAACCATATAAATCTCTGGATCCAAAGATCTGATTCTAAAAATTCTTTCAGTAATATAAAGCTAGACTCTTCCTGAGTGTCATAGGTTATAGTTAATTATTATAAATACTGATTTTAGATGTAAAATATCAACATTTCTAAACCAAGTCTGAGAAAATTTTACCAATTGCACGCTTTATGGGCGTGTGCTGGGCAAACGGTTCCAATTAAAGACATATAATGTATGACAAAAACATTAGTCTTTAGTTGCTCTAAAATAAAGTTCGCGGCACCATATATCTAACTCTTATATTTAAGACTGAATAACGATTTTTCGTTAAAAGAAAAATAAAAGTATACAGTTATGTTTAGGTGAGATTATAACGTACATTATATGCGTGTGTATAATAATAAAGAGTTTAGTCAATACGAAAATTTTATAGAGATACAACCTGTCTTTACTGCATTTAATTTGAGCATATAGACGAGGAGATAACTTCATATAAACAAAAACGCAAGACATAAACGACAGTCACTTTTTGACGTGATTTTTTAAATTGATATAACTTTTTTATTAGTGTACCGATTAAAATAAAATAAACACTTAATTTTCAGTGAAGTTTACCACAACACATTAAAGAACCGCGTCCAAATCGGTTCAGCCATTTCTGAGATTAGCGCGCACAAACGCACAGACAAACAGACAATAATTCTAAAAACTATTGTTTTACTTTGCCACTTTTTACAATATTAAAATTTAAATGGAATCAACCTCGAGTATATCTAATTTAAAAAAAAAAACAGTCACTTTAATAGTAATTTTTGAAATGCGAAGTCGGATACAATACTGTAGATTGAATATATTTTTTTATGGCATAGGGGGCAAGCAAGCAGGCTGGTCACTTGATGGAGAGTGACTACCGCCGCCTGTGAACGCCAGCGACTCAGGAGTCACAATCACGTTGTCGACCTCTTAGGAAGGAGTCATCAACATCATCAACAGCCTATACTAGTCCACTGCTGGACATAGGCCTCTCCTTAGAAAGGAGGTTTTGGCCTACTATACCACGCTGGCCAAACGGGTTGGGTTGGTATAGGGTTTTTTTTTTCAAAAAGGGGTACGCTAGGAAGGAGTACGCTCTTTATAACACTTCTATAACGCATATATATAAATAACATACATACACATTCTGTAATATCA